GGTCCAACAGTTTTGTCTGCTGGGAAGAGAGAGTGACGGTGTCAGTATTTTTTGGAGCAGCTCAACTGATTAAGAATTAATGTATGTCAAATCCTGTTTCTCTGACTACAGAAGGAATCAATCAAGACACAACAGTTTCCTTGTACACCACCCCAAGCATCTGCCCACCCTCATTCCTCAGGAGTAGGTGACTCACCTCCTGTTTCCTTGGTGATTTTGCAGCCTAATCACCTGCTTTATTTTATTTTAAAAATCTCCAAAACCACTAGAAACTCCATGGCCCAAGCATTTCAGAGCCCTGCATTGTGGTGGGATATCTGGAGGAGCGTCCCACCCTTTCAACTGGCATTAAAAAAATGTTGTTCACCTGTTCTTCTACTTAGCCTCATTAGCTAGAATATAAGGCACACATGTAGATAGGTAAAACTGTTCTCAGTTCCAGTAGAAATCCAGAAGTTACAAGATGTCAGCAGTCAATTTTCCATCATTTCAGGCTGAATTGCTCTGAGGTGGCTCATGAAATGAAGAGCCACTTTTCCTATACAGAAGTGCCAGTGACAAATGATACTTGGGATTACTGTGGATGCAACCCAAAGCACTTCAGAGGATGCCTAAGGAGCTGGAGCATGAGTGTGAAAAGGGTAATTTTCCCCTGATCATATGCTAGTGATAAGCCTGAAGGATCATTTTACCACTGGAACACTTCATTAGGTTTCTAAACTTCCCTTCTCTCAGAAGCACAGACAGAGCTGATAGAGACATCCTGCACCAACCCCTAATTACACACATCCTGATTTCAAGCACAGCAGGAGATCTGTTGCTATATTAATGCTTCCCAAATACCTTCAATACTAAGATAGGTTTCAGGAAGGAACCAAAACACTCTGATCATGATTCATCCTCACTTGAAAGATTGAAGCTCGAGTTACTATTATTAGATTCTCTGTCTAATAGTGTGTCACAGCACCATGATATCCCAATCCCAGGCCAGGTTGGATGGGACTTGGAGCAATCTGGACCAGTGAAAGGTGTCCCATGGCAGGGAGTTGGAACTGGATGGTTTTTAAGGTCCCTTCCAATCCAAGCTGTTCCATGAGTCTATATGGATACTTCTATAACAGTGCCGACTCCCTGTGCCTGCTCAGTCCTGTGTTTAGCATTTACCATCCACCTCCAGCAGAAGAACATCAGCCACAAAAGATAACAGCCATGGCAGGTTCTGGAAACACTCCAAGGGCATTATCTAGGGATGTATTTTTCTCCTTTAACAACTGGAAGTGGCTGCATTACCGTTGTTTAGTTATGTAAAGTTCTTCAAGTAAACGTTGCTCCTCGTAGCTCATCCAACGTTCCTCCAGTTCCTCCTCCTCCTTCTGCAACAGCTGTTCATACAGCCTCACTGGGTTCCAGCCAGTCATGATGTCGTAGGTGATGACACAGCCCAGTGAGTGGGACACAATGGAGACTTTCCCTCCTTTCTTCTCAAACTCTGGATTGCGAGAGCAGAAGAGTGTATAGAGGCGGGTCCTGCTGCAGCCCTTTCACCAGCTGATTCAAGAGGGGAAGGAAAGGAAGTTGAATATCAGTATCTTATCACTCCTTATTAATCAGTATCTTATAAGAATTAGTCTGGTAAGAATAGTATCTTATTACTCCTGTTATGTTCAGGAACTTTCATGTGCTACACTAGCCTGTTTCTAGGAGTATGGAAGTCTCTCACTTAAGTTGGGAAGATGAGCACAATCTCATGGCCAGCAGCAAGTGTCACTGACTTCAGTGGTTCATCTCTCCCCTCCAGAGCCAGCAACCACTACCACACAGGCCACGTGGTGACCCCAGAACTGCTACACTACACAGCCCAAGGCATTCAGCTGAAATAAACACTTCAATAAATGACAGTTGTGCTTAAAGTACTTAGCCTCATCCTCTGAGGTGAGCAATACAAGGTACTTGTTTCTCACTAGCACGACAGTGACCATTAACACAGTGGTATTTCTCTTCTTGCTTGTTTCTCCCCCAGTTTTTCCCCCTTTTCACAGCACTGAATGTTTCTCCTGTGTCAGAGGTTCAGCTCCTTTTTTACCTTAATGAGGATGAAGGAGACTGAGACACACATGGCCTGGAATCAACTCACATCTCTGCCTGAAGCTTGGCATTACCCTAAAGTCATACTCTCTCCTCATTTATCAATGTGAGCAACAGCATTCCTACCTCATTGCAGGGAACTGGGAAGAGGAATCCATCACAATGGATGCACTCAGATACTACAGTGAGAGCCTGAATGGGTTCTGGGAAAAAGTCCTCAAATTGCTTTTGGATCTTGAACTCATCAAGCCTTTCACACTCTTCCTGCTCACTGCCTGGCTGCAAGATGTCCTTGTCCTGTGTGTCCTCCTTCCCCTCCTACACCTGCACCTATTGTAAGTTCTTCCAAAGGAATCTGAATGAAATGATGCTGTGAAGGAATAAAAAGCCTCATCTCAGGAGAAAGGATGATAAGGGAGGGGAAAAAACAAATTAGACATGCAGAGAGAGAATTTGAACATTTAATATAAACAACGCCAAGAAAAGTACTTGTCCATTTTTCTAGAAGGGTTTTTGGGGGGGGAAGCAGGACTGCAACATGGTTGTTAAACATGACAGACTAATCCTAGAGTACTACAGCACTAAATATATATTGGTCCTATGTTAATTGAGTCTCTGAGAAGCTTATCTGCTTCAAATCCTGCACTATAGGATCAAAATGTTCAGATTCACAGAAAGGATTTGAGAGAGAAACACTGAAAACCATGAGATTTGGGAATTGGTACAAAAAAGGGCAGTTTTGCCTGTGAAACTCAGCATGGAAACTGAGCAATGCTTCCAGGCTAAGGCACAGAGGAGGACAAACACGAAATTGCAAATCATTCCCTTGTTAGCAAGGGGAAATTAAAGCTATGGAACATGTAATTTCAACATGATTTTTCAAGTGCCTGAGTCATTACTGAATATAAATATGAATGGCACCAGGACTGTCAGTGTTTGATAAACACTTTACTGAGTGAGGATCCACACAGCAAACCCAATGCCTAAAGCACTGTGACATGATTAACAAAGCCTTGCAACAGTTTGAAGAAATGAGTATCAGAACACCTATTTTCAAGTGATTTTGACTGTGATGCTGCCTCTTCTTGTGTTCGGGTCTATGCAGGCACAACATTCACACATGAAGAAACAGGCAGAGGTTTTAGCAAGAGTTGGAGCTGAAAATATCAATGAGGACTAGCTGTGGCTGGCTGATATTTCCTCCATTTCAAAAGGTTTTGATTAAAACCCAGAATAAAATAGTAGGGATCACTTGAAATCCAAGTGTTTTGGGATTACTGCCAGGAGCTTAGTGAGATGAGGGAACACTGATATAGAATCTCAGAATGGCTTGGGTGGGAAGGGATCTTAAAGCTCATTCCACCACCTGCCATGGGCAGAGACACCTTCCACCAACCCACATTGCTCCAAGCCCCATCCAACCTGGCCTGGAACACTCCCAGGGATGGAGCAGCCACAGCTTCTCTGGGCAACCTGCACCAGTGCCTCAGCACCCTCACAGTCAGGAATTCCTTCCCAATATCCCATCCATCCCTGCCCTCTGGCACTGGGAAGGCATTCCCTGTGTCCCACCCCTCCAGGTCCTTGTCCCAAGCCCCTCTCCAGCTCTCTTGCATTTAGCAACTGCACTGGAAGGGGCTGTAAGGTCTCCCTGGAGCTTCTCTTCTCCAGGCTGCACACCTCTAGCTCTCCCAGCCTGGCTCCAGAGCAGAGATGCTCCAGCCCTTGAAGCATCTTTGTGCCTCCTCTGGACTGACTCCAGCAGCTCCATGTTCTCCTCATGCTGGGAGCCCCAGAGCTAGATACAGCACCCCAGCAGTTTGCATGACTGGCTGCTGTGGTACCTTCCAAAGAACCCAACCTACTAGGTTGCCATCCTGATGGCAGGATGGTTCCTGCCATCAGGGACCTCAGCAGGCTGGAGCACTTGGCTTCAGGTTTCAGAGCTGGATGTGTGAAAAATGCCACACACACCTGTGCTGGGTTCATAGCTGCTTCCAGGATCACTGTCAGCACCTCAGGGAGATGAGTAATGCCATCTTGGTACAAAAGATCCTAAATTAGCAGTAGTAATGTGGTTCAGTGCCCCCAAACGTCTCTGGTGAGCAAAGATGCACAACTCATTTATGCAACATTTTCTTCTTCCATAAAAGCCATCACTCCCAATGTCCTGCCTAATTGCTCTCCTGTAGCCCATTCCTGCACAGTCTATTTCCCTGGAAAAGCAGATATCTTCCAAGAAGAATACTATGTCAGTCTTCCCCACAGCCCACAGACACTGAGAGGGTAACTAATCTCCAGGCATCATGGCATTTGCCTTATAAAGATCTTGTTTTCTTGCAATCTAGGCACATAATCCAGAATATTCTTGGAAAATTCTGGTTGGACACCAACCCCAACCCTATTTTTAACTGTTCTGCTCCTTAAAAATGTGCTGTTATTGAGAAGTTAAGCATAAACATGGACATCAGCTAAGCAGCTGTGCATGATTGCCAAAGTGCTGCATACTTGGAAGCTTGCAGAGCAGAGTCCAAGCACTGAATTCAACTAAATCATCTGATGGAGATTATTTCTAAACTCCAAATTACTGGTTATCTAATGCAATTGTGGAGTAGAAGGTTTGCTGAAGGAAAGCCTCCAGATTTTCAGGGCCTGTGAATGGTCTGTTTTGCTGCTCTGCCAAAACCAGACACCCTCCACCTGCAGGGAGCGCTCAGGGATGTTGGTTTCCTGCCAACAGTTCTGTGTCAGTCCTAAGATTAGAAACTGAACCTTTTTGGTGCATAGTGAGGAAAAAAAAGGGGGAGAAAAGCATATTAACTTAAAATCCCAGCTAAAAAATTGTTTGATCAAGTAGTATATGAAGTTAAGATAATATTGGGGGCTGGAAGTAGATGATGTTTAAGGTCACTTTCAGCCCAGCCATTCCATGTTTCCATTCTATGATTAATCCTGATTTGCTTTCTTAGTCTTACAAAGCATAAAACATTCTAACTTGGAAAAGAAAAGCTTGGTTTGAACAGGGTTTTAGTCCAGCAAGTGCAACACAAAGTGCTTTCAAATCTCTTCTGTCGTTACAGCTTGAGATAAATCGTAACACTCCATATAAAAATACCTCCTAAAACACCAATTGGCTTTTATTTCCTAAAATCAATGATTTTTTCCATTGGAATTAAAACACATAAAACTGCCCATGAAATTCTCTCTCCTAAATGGCATCACTGTAATTACAACCAATATTTTAAGAGCTGATTTTTTTACGCTTCCCAAACCCACAAGTCTTTACCACCTGCTCCATGCCCATACCTCAGTGTCAGGTTGTAAGTAACAGGTGCCTCACCCTGAGCTTGCTGACAGCTTCTCCTGCTCTCACAGCACCTACATCCAAGGAATTCCTGATCAAAGCAGCCCTTTCCCCACTGTTTTCACTAGTGCTTCTGCCAATCCCAACCCTCACTGCCTGCCAGTCCATGGGATCTATTATGTGCTTAGGAAGCACCTGCTAGTTCTGTCTGAAAACAAGAAAGCAGCAATCATACAGGGGAAAAAAATAAAAGTAGAATAGTGGAATGCAACAGGACCAGATGTCTCTGTCTCTTTCCATCTCCTCTCCTCCCTCCCAGTTCCCACCTCATTTAGTGGACCAGTGAGATGGAAGAGTCACAGAGGTGTTTCTCCAGCTCCCCCTTACCATGGTTTTCCTAGGGCTTTCCCCAAAAAAGGCCTGGAGTTTCCTTGAGTTTCTGCCCAACCCATATCATCACCTCCTAAGGCTTCTCCCACAGACTAACCAAGCTCAAATATCTCACAAGACAATAAAAGTGGCAGCAGTTGATTGAGTTGATGTTTTTCTCTGTGCAGCTGCTCTGACTGATCTGTGCCTGCTTTGTCACCCCCAGCTCTTTCAGAAGGACCAGGGAAAAGCAGCATGTTTACCTGCCTGTTACTGAACAGATCAAACACTGCAATAAAGAGAACACTTCCTATTTCTTCCAGAAAGAGCCATATCAAACCCCATCCTCCCAGATGGCCTTTCCACCAAAGCATCAGTTTAGCAACAGCCTGAGGACACTGAAATACTTCAAAGAAAGGTAGAGAAAATCTTGCAGTGTTCCAATTTTCTTGGCCAAAAAAAGTCCTTTTTTCCTGTTCTGATTTTTTTAGGGAAAAATTTCTGAAGCATCTCTTGCAGACCAAATGTTTCAGTACCAAAGTTTAGTGCAGGATTAAAATGCTACAATGCAAATGCTCATAGATATCCACATGAAATCCTTCAAGTGCCTAAAGTGGCTCCAAGAGAGACAGAGAAGGACTGTGGACAAGGACATGGAGGGACAGGACACAGGGAATGGCTTCCCATTGCCAGAGGGCAGGGTTAGATGGGATATTGGGAAGAAATTTTTCCTTGTGAGGGTGGTGAAGCACTGGCAGAGGCTGCCCAGAAAAGCTGTGGCTGCTCCATC